CCAGGGAGTCCTCCAGACAGGTGGATCGCCCGGAATCAGCTGAAGCAGGTGCTGCTGAACCTCCTGCATGCGCCGTGAACGGCGCTTCTCCCGCTCGATGTGGGCGAGAGTCACGTCCTGCTGAGTCTGGATCGTGTTCAGCCGCACGTCATAAGCATCCATCCTGTTCCGGTACTCGGCCTGATCTGCCGCGTACTGCTGATGGAACTGCATCTGCTGGTCGAGGATCAGCTGGTTTTGGATCCTCAGCTGCTCGAACTGCTGGGCGAAGTAATCCTGGCCCTGGAAAGTGGAGCTGCTACCCCCGTAATGGAAGGCAGTCTGTGGTGGATCATCAGCAGCATCAGCAGCAGCATCCACCTCCTCGGGATCCACCTCATCGGCAGCCTCCTCCTCCTGGCCCTCGGCCTGGGCCTCTGGTACGGGCTCCGCGGGGATCGGAGGCTCCGGGAATCCATCGACCCACTGAACACCGTTCCTCTCTCGCAACAGCAGCATCTTCCCGATCGTCTTGCTGCCAAAGATGAGGGTGTCCCCCTCCTCGGTGCACCCCTGCAGTGAAAGGCCAAAGAAGGTGACCAGGCGGGTGATGAGGGGGGCGCAGTGGAGGCTCTTCAGCTCTGTGGCCGTCTTCTCGAAGGTCTTGGCCACCACCGAACCCAGGTGGAGAGGATGGCGGCGCTGGCGGATCAAATGGAGGAAGTACAGGGGCCTCTTCGTGATGGCGCCGACGCTGTCAGCTGCAAGAGTGTAAGACTTCGCCAGCAGGTGGTGGAGAAGTCGCAGGGTAGATGCCTTCGTCGATCTGCAGGGTAGATGCCTTCGTCCTCCCGGACCGGAAGGGACGCGTCTGGCCTGGCCGAGCCAGGCTGGTGTACAGCCTCCCGAAGTCCACCTCCGGAGGCTCATTTACCTCGGTGATGTAGTCCTCACTGTCGTCGAGGTCGAGGTCGAGAGCCTCGGCCAGCTCGTGTTAGCTCAAGGACCGGGGGACACCGCCCAGCCTGAATTGGACGGCTGTACCGTCCCGGCAACTGGTCGCGGAATTGTGCTTGAAAGTCGTGTAGAACTCCCACACCGGCTCGTAGTAGACCTTCTCGCAGATCTGGAGCAGACGGCGCCATGCGGTGTTGGCGACCGCGGCGGAAAGCAGCTCGTAGCAGTGCAGTCGCCGAAACTCCCGTTTGGACCAGCAATGGTGGGACCCAAACGGGGTTTCCGCGACCGCCTTGAAGTGCTCTGCGGTGGGGCCCCTCCTGAGATCCCGGATGAACGGGTGGTGGAGATTAGGTTTCGCCATTTCCCTGCAGAACAACCCCAACGTGGAACCAAAAGAGCCAAAGAAAAGGTCAAGCCCACCCCCACACTTAAGAACAAAAAGCAGCCTAACCATGGTTTCATCCATAGTTCGGGGGTCAAAAACTTGATAAATCAAGCATAATCTGGGTGGGGGTGCACATTCACAAGAAAATAGGCAACTCAAGGTTCACATCCATAGCAAATACACCCTCAACCTACATCATTAAGGGCCCCAACCGGTGGCCACAACATGGCATGGAAAACAGGCATTTCATCGAACACCTTGTGTGCACTATTAAGTTAAGCATGAAACTGGCCAAATTTTTGCACACAAGGGCTCAAACAAGCAAAGGGGACTTTGCCCAACATAATTCAATCACATCCCATGCATTCCCCTCAATCAATTTCACACAAATCACATGATTCAATAAGGTTCTCTAACATACACCCTACACACTCAATTCTCCAAAATTAACATAGTTAGGGGCAAAATCAAACCTGGAGACTCAAGTAGAGGTGTAGGGGATGATGAGGGGAAGACAATGGAATCGACGAAACGCTGAAAAACTGGCCGGAAATGCTCGTCGGAGCCTCGCCGGATTCTCGCCGGAAATCGCCTCTGGCGACAAAACGTCGCCCAAACTCGCTCAAACTCGAGGGATAGGCCGCTTTGGGTGTAGAAGGAGTGGATTTGGTGTTGGTTTGGTGAAAAAATGACCCAAAGCGGCCAAAAAAATCGAAAAAAGGTGGGTTTGTCGCGGTTTTCCGGCGAGGGCAGAGGATTCCGGCGAGGATTTTGGGTTTTCTGACCATACTGGCTGTGCAGGCCATTTATATAGACCGTGCATCGGCTGCACGGGCAGGGGCGCACGGCCGTGCACGGCTTGCTTCTGCCCGTGCAGGCCGACACGGCCTGGCCGAGGATGTCGCACGGCCGTGCACATGACAATTTTGGCCGTGCAGTTATGACCGAGAGCTCGCACGGCCAAGGGGGGATACCCGCACGGCCGTGCGAGTCAAAGTGATGCTCGTGCCAGACGCACGGCCAGGCCAGGCGGAGCACACGGCCGTGCACATTGCACTTCTGGCCGTGCGACTTTTACCGAGAGCTCGCACGGCCAAGGGGGATATCCGCACGGCCGTGCAAGTTGAGGTCCTGGCCGTGCGACTTGCTGGAGTCCCGAAATCAGCCTGTTTCCACTCAAAAATGACACTTGACTCTGGATCAACGTCTCAAGACTCAAAAACATACAAAATCAAATGAAAAAGAGTAAGAAAATGCAAACCTCGGTGGGGTTGCCTCCCCACAAGCGCTTCTTTACCGTCTTTTAGCTGGATGCCAGTATGGATGCTCAGGGAAGTGTAGGATCAGGTGCCTTCAAGAGCGGATCCACATCGCTCTTGAGGTACAGCTTCAAATGGTGGCCATGTACGCGACGAATGTGGCCACCTGCATTTGCCAGCTCGACTTGGCCATCCGGCAAGATGCAAGCGAGTGAATACTCGGATGGCCAAGGTGGGGGCGGGACCAGCTCGTAGTGGTCTCCGGCTTCCTTTCGAGCAGGCTTAGCTGCCTGCGGTTTCGGCCGCCACTCCTCCTTGGTTCCAATTTGCATGGGATTGATGCGTTGCTTGCTCAGTTAGATACTTCGCATCCCTCGAGCATAGTTGGATATACAATCTAGGATCGTATCAGTCGCCATCTATCATTAAATATGAAGAAAATATTATTTGATTTGCAAACAAATTGTGAAAGTACAGACATTCAAATACAAGAATTTTTTTTTGGTGTAGAAGGAGATAAAATGTTAAGAACATAAAAAAAAAGCAAGGAAAAATATTATTTTATCGGACTTAGCTGGAACAACCAGGGTTCAAGAAGGCGCGCCTAGGCGCACGCCTAGGCTCAATTAGGCGCTAGGCGGTGGAGGATGGCCTTGACTTGGCCATAGGCGTTGAAAAAGACGCTGGTAGCGCTTAGTAGGTAGGAATAGCGCTTAGTTTGCGCCTAGTGGAGAGAAGGCGTGCATGGGCGTTCCTGGGCAAGCTTAGGCGGTTAAACCTAATACTCTTCATTTTGTCCTAGAAAATCAGAAACTTGCCTCTTGCCCTAGAAAATCAGGAACACGGGAAGTAACATCTGCTGCCGCCTGCCGCCCTATCTCTTGCCCCATCTTCTACTGCCTGCCGCCCTAGCTCTCGCCCCATTTGCTGCTCTCTGCCGCCGCAGGAGAAAGTCATCGATCACTCTTCTCGCCTTCACACCGCTCCGCTGCTATAGTGGGAAATAAAGTCGAAACTCGTCAATTGCTGCTCCTTCCTTCTCCTCGGTACGTAGCACAAGCTTCTTGCCTCTATAAGCACCTATTAGCAGATGATTGGTCACTATTTACTTGTTATTTGTTATGTTAAGTGTTTACTGTTAAGAACTAGGCATTGCTAATTTTATATGCACTTGGATTATATGAATTATTCCAGAAAACATGAAATATTTGAGAATTTTTCCATTTATGCTCTAAACGCCTAGGCGCGCCTAGGCTACGCCTAATCGGGCAAGGCGCAAGTCAGGAGCCGAGCGCGGAGCGCCTGCCTTACGCCTAGCGCCTTTTAGAACCTTGGGAACAACAAAGCGAACTAAAAATTCCATTATTTGGAGTATTTTAGGAAAAATTCATTAGAATTCCAAACATAAACCACTCAATCATGGTTAAACTACTAAGATATTATTGGTCTTATAGAGTCCCATCAATGAATCACCACGATCAGCAAGCCTTACACCCACATAAATAAAACATTCACGATCAGCTTAAGCCTTTCTCACCTACTTATGAAGGTACATAAGAATAACAAAATCCTAGCAAGTTTGAAAAACCAAAGCAGAAAGAGCACCAAACCACTGTAATAATCGTGTTGTTTTATTTATGTCAATAGAATCATGGGTGCAATTAGTATACTCTTAAGTGTCTTTAAGATAAATGTTGATAAAAGTCATCCTCTATGATGAATTATAGCAGTCAATTCATAATTAAAAAGAGCAATGCAAACCAACTTTAATGTGAATAGAATCTTTGGTTCAGTGGCCTCCAAAAGCCAACAATTAGGAAACCAAACTAGGAAAGTACATTAAGAAACATTAGGAAGTCAAGCATCACCAAAGGCCAACATTTTTTATAGCATAACATATTATGTAAACAAAGAAAAACTTACAGAGCACTCACACTTAAAGAGTTCAAACACTATCCAGAACAAACTTGAATTATGGTTCTTCAATGCGAGAGAACATGTTGCTGAAAGTTCTGAGGTATCAACAGACTTGAGTGTATCTTTGTGGTGACCACATAGCATCTCAACTGACGGCCACTGATTTTGCAGGAAGAGACCAAAGCTTCCTCTTGAATGATGAGTCGGCATTGAATGGAATAGAGACGACTACGTAATGGAATCTCATCAATAATTCTCTAAGATCTCGGCATGCTTTTAGCATACAGTGTTAGTACGGAACGTGTAACAGAAGAAGCAAAAACGGAGACGGGTTGATATCTTTGCCCTCGTCGAGGTGGCAAAAGCAAAATACCTTTTAGATCTGCAAAACCCCATCAAACAATCCTCCATTTCATATCATGGAACCCACCAACAACAAACAAACTCAACAGAGACAAAGGGAAGAAATGATTACCTAAAGCCAAAAAGAACCCACGATCCGAGTCTGTCCCGCATACTCTCCGGATCGTAATACAGAATCTCCTCTTCTTCGGAGAGGTACCGTAACCCAAGGGCTCTCAGCGATTCCATGGTCCCTAGCAACGACCACGGAGCCGAGATGAGAGAGAAGAGGAAGAGATAAGATGCTGGAGGGACGTTGAAGAGAATCAAGAGAGAAAGAGGCATAACATACACGTTTCAGAGAACCTGCAGATTGGGAAATCAACATGCTTTTCTCATTGAGAAGAGGAATCGTGATCGCCAGTGCTCTCTTTATGACTTCCATCTCGTAAATCTTCTACAGGACCTTGATTTCCTCAGGCAAACCCAAAGCGGAGGATGATCAGATCAAAAAACAAAGAGATAATACCTGCAACTGTTGATATTCTTGCAATTGATCATCGCCGATGTGCTCGGCCGTCTCGGCTCGCACCGACGAAGTTGAGTGAAGAGAGGGAGAGAGAAGGGGATAAGAAATTTGAGAGAAAACTTTTGTCAACCTCGATTGTTGTGGACAGAGGCATTGGACAGAAAGAGAGTTGTTTGCAAGAGGACTGCGTCGGGGTGTAGTTGGCCTAAAGGAATACGTGGAGCTATGCTCACCAAGGAAAGAAACAATGAAAAGTATCTATTTCTCTAGCCTCTCTCTGCGTTGAACAATGCAAGGACTTCCTAACCCCTCCATGAGACACCAAAGGCCGGTCTTTTCATACACTAGAGAAAAGGGCCATCCTTGGCAAGGTATCTCTCTGAACCCTCTTCTGTTTCTCAAACGACCCATCTCCCCACCGTCCAGGCATGTCACTCTCATCCACACAGAACCCGCTAGATCTCCCACTACTCAATGATCCCTCCCTAGCAGAACACCCAAAGCAATTGAATACGCCTCGATCCGTGCACACGCTAGGGCAAAAGCAGCATATAGATTTTCGGTGACTAACACGCGTGAGGGCCACCAACTGACCTCAAACAGTCCAATCAGAAGCCAACGACTGGTTCCATCCCGACCGGGCTGCGAAACTTCCATCCGATCCCAATGAGCCCTCACCCAACTCCCGGCCACACAGCAGGCCATGCCAGGATGAAACAGTACAACTCAGTCACGTTGTACAGTAAAAGTTGTCTGTGTGTGCAGTGTAAGGGGCTGCGGTGGGTTTATTTCTTTCAATACTCAAAGCTTGCGGTGTCGTGTTTATGTATATGTATATATTTGAGGACGAGTTTTGGACGATTAGAGGTCAAAAAGTGCAAAAACCGAAAAAAGTCCAAAGTAGCAACCGTGACAATTGCCCCGTAACAGTGAAGCGCAGGAGTCCAGGATTCAGGCCATGTTCACGGTTTCCCATTGGAGTACATGATCTCCTGAGGCCATGAACTGGAACCATAAACTGTGATCCGCGAAGCATCCAGGGCGATTTCAGAAGTTACTATTGCCGAGTGAGTTCACGGTCACCAAGACCGTGAACTTTGAGTGCAAACCGTGAACTCAAGTGAATGAAGTGGTGCATTTCGACACAACACTCCGAGGTCACGAACGCGTTGAGGAGTTCACGGCCCTGAGCTGAAGCCTTGAACTGAGCCTGATCCCGGTATATAATGTGAGCTGAAAGGATGAGAGAGGGGAGAGCTCCTAAGGGTGGGGGGGGGGGACTTCTTCTTGAAACCCTAGAGAGAAAAGTGACGAACCAAGAGGGAGAAGAGGCTAGGGTTTGCTCCAAGTGAAGACTTTGGAAGATCCTCTCACAAGGTGGATTTCTACAAGCACAAGGAGGGTTGGAGGCATCACCATGATGGTTTCTTTCTTCTTCCTTTGTGTTCTTCCTTTATCTAGCATGGGCTAGTTTCTTTTTTCACTTGGGTGTTGTAGAACCCTAACTCCTATCATGTAATTGATTGTGTTGATTGAATGATTGTGCGATGGAGGTGTTTAATTTAAAGTTTGAGGTATTATTCATGAATGATTGTGTTGTGTGAAAGCCTATCAATCTAATTGCCATTGTAAGAGCTCATGTGCGATGCTAGTGACTATGTAGTGGGAGCAGTTTTGGGTCAATGGCTGGTAGATACTTTAAACCTATTTGTTACGCCTCAAAGACGCTGAATGATGCTCAGGAGAACTACACAACCACGTAGAAAGAGCTGTTGGCAGTAATCTTTGCTTTCGATAAATTCAGGTATTATCTGGTGCTTTCCAAGGTTGTTGTCTACACAGACCACTCCGCCATCCGCTTCTTGATGAGCAAGGCGGATGCCAAGCCCCGACTAATTCAATGGATCCTGGTGCTTCAAGAGTTTGATGTGGAGATCAAAGACAAAAAGGGGGCAAAAAACCTTGCAGTTGTCCACCTCTCGTGGCTCGAATGACTGGGAGGTAGCACTCCTCTAAGAGAGATAAATGACACTTTCCCCGATGAACGTTTACTCGTCCTTGCCACTGCAGAGAGTATCACCCTGTGGTTTGCCTACTTCCCCAATTATCTGGTTGGAGGGGAGCTACGCAAGGGGATGACTACACATGAGAGGAACAAGTTCTTCTCTGACCTCCGTGCTCACTTTTGGGATGATCCCCACCTTTTTTGAATTGGGGCCGACGGAGTCATTCGAAGGTGTGTACTGGAGGAGGAGATGGAGGGTATTCTGAACCACTGTCATACGGGGCCAGCTGGAGGCCACCATGGAGGCAACCGAACTACAAAAGGTGCTCCAGTTGGGATTCTACATAGGAGGTTCGTGTGCGGTCCTTGCTAGGGATGAGAAAAATGAAGTGTAGTGTTTGAGTGAGTTCCTCAAAAAGAGAGCATTGGTCATTAAATGTAACATCCCATTCCGGCAAAACCCATATTTCGATCGCTAGAAAGTTCGCGATTTAAAATCGAGCGTTTTGATAGTATTTCGACGAAAATCGGATTATCGATCGATCGAATAAGTATACGTATTAATTATATATATAATATAATATATATATATATATATATAAATCGGTCGGCATATATATATTACCCGTCCATTTCCATCCCCATCCCATTCAATTCTTCTTCTCCCTTTTACGGACCGAGAGGAGCAGAGCGAACAGGGGAGCTCGGGGAGAATATTCCAAAGCTCAATTCTTGAGCCCTAGTGATCCAAAAATCCCGTAAGTAATACCTAATCCATCCTTACATCGTGATTTATCGATTTAGAGTTTTAAAATGAGTTTTTGGTTCAGGAATTTCTTGAATTCCCGATAAGCCAAATTAGGGTTTTGGAGTATCTGGAAGCCGGATTGAGCCCAAATTTCATATACGAGCTTCCTGCAGCGAGGTAATCAATCCTCTAGTTCTAATCCCTGAATTTTGGTTATTATTTAGGTCGGAGCCGGGATCGCTGAATTTAACTCCGGCCAGGGTTTAAGGTGTTTTTATCGAGAATTTGATCCGGAGCTTAGTACTAACATTGACGGGGATACTGCAGGGGATATTAGGGCGGTCTCGGATTTTAATTCGGGGTTCGTTCGTGAAATTGACGTTTTAGTACGGGAGGCTAGAACCAGTGTTTGAACGACCAGAACTGGTGAGGGATTAGCACGGCATACCGGGTTTGTCGTATCACGATAATTATATTGATGCTTAGAATTGACCAAGGTGAACTAGAATGGCATGATTAGGGGTGTATGAACTTTTGGTGCTATATGATGAACCCTGGATTGCTGTATGATATTATTGACTTGCCCTAATCGATATGGACCTTGCTTATGCTGATGATTTCGTATATGTTGCAAATTGTGGGCTTGACTGTTGATATGCCTTCTGATGGTTCGAAAAGGTGATTGGGTATGATATTTCATGATTGATGTATTTGGATGTACAAGTGGGAAAATATATATCTCCTGGTGATATTATGATGTTTAAGGAGGATGACTTGCACGAGGGTTTATCCCGAGGAAGTGCAATTATACGACTCCTGATTTACCTATGTTGAGCCAATTATGGCCAGGTCAAGTACATGTGCAAGTAATGAATTATGATTAAGCAAGATGAGATATGAATCATGTATAAGAATACCAAATATGAGTGTTGTGGTTTCACGGTCGACTACATAGTAATTAGGGCTCCCTATGCTATTACTCTATTATGATATGTATGATAGTCACACCTCCCATGTGGTGGTGACTGAAGAATTCTTACGAGATATGACCACACCCAGAGCGGTGTCGGGGTATGACTACACCCATAGTGGTGTGGGGTATGTATGACCACATCCGACGGGATGTTGGGGTATGTATGACTACATCCGACGGGATGTGGGGTATGTTTCCCGGGAGAGTTATTAGCATGGGAGTAGCCAGGCGCCTATAAGTAAAACATGATAAGATGCATATGCATAAGTCAAGGTGGTTGAGTCTTTTGCCTATTGGGATGTCGAATGGCTGAGGTTTGATCCTAGTGCTTTGGCTTGTTTGCTAGAATGTATGGTAGGGGTATGCTCTGTTATGAACTCACGATGCTATGATTATCTCACTCAGCTATGAGCTGACCCTCTTTTATCCTTTTTCTCTGCTTATGCCATGTGTAAGCAGATCATCATCAGCAGCAGTAGATAGGTGTATAGGTGGGAGCTGAGCAAAAGTTGAAGGCAAAATGAGGTATGGTCTTCAACTATTCTGTGCTTGGACTACTACTCGGGATTTTGGCCAGTGATCCACACCTTTTTGTAAAAATGTTTTGAGAACGTTTTTCATGTGCATACTAGCTTTTGATGTAGTGTGAGATATCCACAGGTGTGGAAAGTTGATGATATGTGTATGTTGTGTAATTATGTAAGTTGTGATGATTATAGCATGTATCAGTATGGTTTGTAGTTGTGTAGTATGAAACTGTGACTATGGCTATGAAAAGCCAATGCATATGGTTGTGAGTATATATGTTTGTGGTGAATTATTTTCCAGGATAAGTTGCAAGAACTGTTAGCCCATTACGCGAGTAATTCATGTCGAAATTTTATTTAGGTAAATTTTGGTAATTAATGTAACACCCGAGATTATTTCCGCTGCAATTGTATGAACAATATGATTAGGTAATACGTACAGGGTAGGGTGTTACATTAAATGTATAGGTGGCAAGTCTTTTTACTCTCTAGTACCCCCTCGAAAAGAAAAGAAAAGAAAAAGAAAGAAAAGAAAAGAAAAGAGAAACGAAAAGAGGTAAGAAAATGGGGTAAATAAAGTAGAGAGTGCCACGAAAAATCAAAGTACATGCTCTATGAGGGGTTTCTTGGAAACCAAGCCATCGAAACCCCCACGTTTTTTTAGAACTCCTTCATTATCAAACCTTCATGTGCTAGCAAGAGTAGACCGAGGAAGAGTGCTTCAATGTAGTTCACGATGGGTGATAGTTTGGAAAGGAGATTAAGGGGTTTGGCCGATGCTAGTGGCCTTGGATTGAAAAGAGGGGTTTTAGTCAAAACCATA